GCCAAACATAATGAAAACAAATTTCTCCTTTATTCATCTGCCAAGACCTGAGTTCAGGACTCTGCACTTCCCTGAGAAAGAGGTTGTTAGAGCTGTGCTAAATTTGTCAGTTTCATTTTGGACAGGTCTTCTCAATTTCCTGAGCCCCCCTGGGTTCATGCTGTGAGCTTTCCTTTGGATGATCCCAAAAACTCAAATTCAAAATGGTCTAGTTTTGCATCCAAACCATGAGAAACCACAAATCTTGCAGGGCTTTGGTAGAATGCCATGCGTCACCCCAGAGTTGGTTCACCAGGTTCACAAACCTTTCAACAAAGGAATTTAGTGGAACCAGGTCAGTTGCGTGTGAAGATTTTGCACTACTTTGGTTACCAGTAGAAGCCCGGCAATCTAGACTTGACTGGCAACAAAGTGCCCTTCAAAAAAGAAACTACACTGAAAATGGTTTTGTCAGTTTCTGAGCAGCAGATCAAATCGCATGAACATTGTTTTATAGCTTGGGATATCAAAAACTAGCTGGCCTAAGTACATAACACAATAACATGTGCACACAGTGCTTCAAATGCCCTTGACTGAGCCTAATTATAGTGCTACTTACTACAGGAAATTGCCTGTTGAATGACACTATTCAAAATTCTTAACAGAAATGTATCTTTGTTTGGAGAGTTACAAATAAAGCATAGGGGATAGTGAGCAGACTTTACAGTTTGTGTCTTTTGTTAACCCCCCCCCCAAACCTTTTATGTGCAATGTATTACGAAGTTCATAAAGCAGAGAATGAGCAGTATGAGAACATATCCCCTCCCAGCCCTCAGTATCATCACAGTGACGACAGGTGGCTAATAGAAACAAGGCACATACCCCACTGGACCACACATAGTACGTATAGGCCAGGGCTTCCTTTCTGTTCAGTTTGTACACTTGCTGCAGTTTCTCCCAATAGACATTTGCTTCCATGTCCTCACTTGCAAAGCTGCGCACAGTCTTCATGTCCGAAATGGTTTCTTCTGCTGTGTTGTTGGCCTTCGCCAAAGCATTCTGAACCTCCTTGGAGAGCTTCTGCAGTGAACAAAGGAAAGGCGGGAAGGGAAAGCAGGACTGTATATACCAGAGGGGCTATTGTTCCATTTCATTGTGCCCCCCCACAAAGGACGCACCGCACACCTGATGGAAAGGGATTTGGAGACCATTGTTCATTTCACTATCCCTTTGTCCCTGGGTCTGACAGACTCCTTCAGTGGCTCTGGGCAACCATGATTATTCTTTGTGTATGATGATAGCGTTTAGAGCCTGAAGTTGAGACCCGGTCCCACTGTGCTAGGCACTGTACATGTGTACACACACACACACACACACACTTCCTATCCCAAAGAGCTTACAGTGTAAATAGAGAAGACAGACAAAAGGAGGAGACAGGATGTGCTATTATCCCCATGTCACAGATGAGGAACTGAAGCACTGAGAGACTAAGGGACTTGTCCAAGGTCGCACAGGAAGTCTATGGCAAAGCCAGGAAATGAACACAAGTCCCTGTACTGCTGGGATCTCTAAGCACATTGGGACTGCCAGCAGCTGCCTGTGACAAAAGCCACAAAGGGGTTCTCCAGGTCAGAACCTAGGACTGGGGGGCACAATCTGGTGTCTGTGCATGTGCACACTCTGAACAGGCAATGGCAATATGCAAACTTCCCCCACTTGCCAATTACACACTTCTAGCAAGAATAATCTTGGGGAGAGAGCCGAGAATCCGTACAAGGGAGCCACAGCTGGCCAGAATCCAGGCACGGCGCCTCTGCTTTTCAGCATGCCAGCATGTGCATATCACACGGGCGGCACTACGCACACAGGCAGGATTTGCCCCACGGCACGGACGTCGACAGCAATAAAGCTCTCAAAGCCCAGCACCCAGCCTGTGCGCTGTACTGATTCCTGTGTTCCACCCAACGGAAGTGCGGGCATGTCACTTCGGAGAGGATTCTCGCCCAGGAGTCGGAGAGAGGCTCCTTATGAACAATGAGACTCAGCCAAGTGCGCACACGCCCCAACCGGTATTACAGGTTATGACAATGGAGCTGGCAGAGCTGTAGACTCAGAGGAGAAGATGCATTAGATCACCCCAGCCCTCTCTCGGGCACCAGGGCGGGATTCCTCCCTGCAGTATATTTTCGGTTGTTTTGTCCTTTTTCTAAAAGTCCCAAGCAATGGGGATTCCACTGTTTCCACAGACTAGCAGAGCTCAAATTGGGACTAAAAAGGGACAGAAATAGAGAAAGCAAAGGTCACATAGTACTGTGTACTGCACACGCAAACACGGGGGGAGGGGGGGTGAACGAATTAGACAGACAACTTTCCCTTTAAAGAACACATTCCTTTGATATCCCCAAGATCACGCTACTAGAGAGCCTGTAATTCCATTAGATTGGCTAACAGAGAAATCCAGCATCAAGAGAGAAGGTCTTTTGAATACTGAGCAAACATCTGTTTGTTTAATCTTATGAAACGAGATCAATAGCACATGCAGCCAGCAGGTCCACTGGGACAAGAAAAGCCTCACAGGTCTGATTTAGAGTCTGGGGAGAACAGGTGTGGCCAGGAGAAGCGGCACATTGCAGTTTGGGGAACTGACTCATTCCAGAAAGTGGTGGGTGAGAGCCAGCCACAATTAGACTGATGGATCAGGGGGCTGTGAACAGCTAAAGCTCATTGTGGGGGTTTGTATTAACTGCTAGTTCTAGCCCACTCTTTCCACGTCAGCAGCAAATGAAGGGAAACACCTCTGGTCTGGTTAAACTCCCTGTCTTGGTGGATCTGCAGAACGGATCACTGGCCACTTCAGACAGAAAGGAGAGATCAACAGGGAACAAAGATTGGGAACTGGCCTGTGGAAAGCTTGTGGTGCAACAGTATCCTAAAGATTCCTTACCACATACTTTGAAACTAGGGTGACCAGATGTCCTGATTTTATAGGGACAGTCCAGATTTTTGGGTCTTTTTCTTATATAGGCTCCTATTACCCCCCACCCCCGTCCCGATTTTTCATACTTGCTGTCTGGTCACCCTATTTGGAACCCACGTTTTTCTAGACGATCACTTTGGGTGCTCAACAGCTACAGCCAATGTTGCTCTCTGGACAGCCAGCAGGGGGCAGTACAACAGCACAGATTGCACCCTCCCCTGCTCATATACAGCATCCCTGATGTATCTGGTATCCTTCCCTCAACTCCACGGAGCCATCTTGACTCCTCGGGGCCAAAGCAGGCCTTAGGCACGAGCAAAGCAAGGGAGTGTTTGGGGTCCTGTGCTGCCACCACAACGCACAGGCTAGCCTGATCTCTTCTCCTAGCAGCAGGACTGGAGGGGAGACAGTTCATTCGCTGCTCACCCCCAATCTCCATGAGAAGCAGCTCACAGCTAGAGCCCAGCCTTGCTCTTAGAGGCCACTTGGCCCATGGAAGAGTCCTGCTTTGTGGGGGAGACAGAGGGACTTGGCATATATTAAAGATGCAAGCAATCTGCCTTACCTTGTAATATTTCCCGTAGAGGTCAGACACCAGCATGATGATGGGGAAGCCCATGAAGGTCACCAGAGAGAGCTGCCAGGATAGGCTGAACATGAAGACAATCACGCCTGTAGCCTTCACCACGTTGCGCAGGAAGATGTTAATGTTCTGGGAAACTAGGTCGCTCACAATCGTTGTGTCCGAGGTCAGCCGGGAGATGATGTCCCCTGCAAGGCAAAGGGGAGTGGGCGAGAGCTCCGATCTGTCAGTGCTTCAGGAATCACAGCCCCTATCTCCGTACCAGCACGGGCAGGTAGCGATTGCACGTGCCATGAGCCAAATTGGAGGGTCATGGGGAACCAAGAATGAAATGTGCACAGGTCAGGGGCTCAGGGGATGCAGCCATTCATGATGGGTCATAGAACCTTTCAGATCTAGGCTCCCAGTTCAAATCCAGCCCAGATCAGTAGTGACTGGAAGCGGTTACTGTACCACCCGCTGGCAGGTCAGTGGGTGGCATGAAACGAGTTTGGCAGGTCTCAGTCAAGGTGAGAACACCACAAAATCTACCACCACAATCAGTGCGTTAGTGTTTCAGGTCAATCACTTACTCAGACTGTATTCTCATATCTTGAGAAACAAAGGAAATGTGGCGTACCAAGCACTCTTGTCTCCCAGAGATCATCATCACGCGAGGATTAGGCTGGACTGCTGAAAGAGAGACTGATCTCATGGATGGAGAGAAACCAACCTGTGCGATTCTCATCAAAGAAACTTGTCTCCTGAGCAACCAGTGACTTGAAGAGGCAGTTGCGGAGTCGAATATTCAGCCTGGCAAATACGAGCGTAAAAAGGCCACCCCGGATACCTGCGGCAAATGAGCTAATTGCAGATAAGGAGACGTTATATAGCAATGTGCACAAAATCCACTCCTTAGCACAACATACAAGCCCCATCAGACCCAAGACAGACATATCGAAACAGGGGCCAATGATAATACTTTGTACTGACAGTGCCTTTCATCCCAGGATCTCAAAAAGCTGCTCAGACAACTAAGTTAGCCTGACAACACCCCACCCCCGAGATGGATCTCATTATCCCCACTTTACAGATGGGAAAACTAACACACAAGTGCGAAAGTGGCAGGCCAAGTCAGTGGCAGAGTCTCAGGTATGTGCTATCACTACTAGACAACACTTCCACTACATATTAACACCATGCATCCGGTTTTAGACAACACCCAAGTGTCAGGAGTAGAAACAAGAGAAACTTTTGTTACAAAACCCAGAATCAGGCTGATTTAACCCGGTTCTGCTACAAACTAATCTTAAACAAAACAAAAAAAACCCTTTCAGTTGAGCCCTGGCCCCTTTCACAGTTTCAGATGGAAACCGTGAAAAACTCCATGTCATTTCTAGTGGCAAGCAGGATGCACATGGCCATTCAGTCCGGGGCTCATTCACCCCTGAACACCAAGTGACTTAGGTCCGTAAAGCTGCATTAACCAAAACTAACCTACAAGCTGGCATCCCATCTGGTCCCTCTGCAAACTGCATCTGCTGGTTTTGTGCAGCTGTCACCATGGAAGAGTCAGGGATGGGCCAAAGCTTTGCCTCTGAATTGCCTTGTCCTCCGCAAGGATGTTTGAAAGATAAAACTAAACCAAGTGTTTAGGATGTTTCTTTCCCTGCTCCCTCTTGAGTCTGTAAATATTGTAACAAAGTCATGGCCATCTAAGGCTTCACGGTTGTCATTCTGCTGCCACACTGTGGGCACTTAGAACTGTGCAGCAAGAGCAGGGATTACCTACATCTTATGGGTTCACATGGACACATCCCTGCCACCTGAGCTAAAGGAGAACTGCTGTTAGCAGCTTCATACCTGAAACACACAGCTGAGCAGTTCCTAATCCATCGAGCAGAGGTTCATATAACCACTAGCCAGTTCAGGACAATACTATGGAAGAAGGTTTAAACCTCAACATAATAAACTTTTTATAACTGAGGCACAAATAATCTATCTATCTATTGCCGTTACCTTCCTATAGCAAGAAGCGACATAATCACCACTGCAGAGGAAAACTGATCCATGCTTTTTTGGATGACTATTCCATCAATCGCCAAGCCAGTGTAATAAGGAAGGAATGTTTCTCCTGTATGGGAGCAGCATAAGAGAAGGTGGATTAGAACAAGAGGCAGGGTTTCAAACACAGAGCTATTGGGTAAAGCAAATGTTAGCAGTGGAGTTTAACTGGTTTCTGGGAACAGTAATATCTTTGAAGGTGTTTCTGGCCTTGATAATCCAGGTGTGAGACAAAGATTAAAAGGTTGTTTAAGCCCAATATTTAGATTTCATCAGGGTGGAGAGGTGTGATTTTTATAGAACTGATATTAATAGAAAATATGGAATTTTGATCTTGGCAATGTCCCTTTAAACTCTGTTCACTCACCCAAAGCGGCAACCAGGAGGAAGAAAGTGGCTATTCCGAGGAAGAGAGCATCTGGTTTGGTGTAAGACAGCAGCTTCTGGATAGTGGCTCCTGACGCCTCTTCCCTCTTTTCCTGCACAGTAATAGGGCTGGGGTCACATATCTCCTCTGCTTCCGCCCGGGACTCTGAACTGACCTGCAAGGCTTCTCTGGAGGACGTCACGGAAGACAGCAGCTGCCACAGGCAGAAAGTTGCAGCCAATGACACATACGTCCATGCAAACAAACTCCAAAACCAGGGGTCCCTAATGGTCTTCCTGACCTCCGAGTAGAGCAGCAGTTTGACCAGGGCATAAATGCCCACTAGCAGGCAGACCAAGGTGATGAAGGTCTGGGATGCTTTCAGGCGCTTGGGGCCATAGGTCGAGCTCTTGGCAACCCCAATGGCAGCGCCAACCAGCAAGCAACTCCTGTACAGACATGCCCCCCACACGTCCAACATGGAATTAAAGACATTGAAGTGCTTCAGATCCTGGACAATGTCCTTGCCGCTATGGCTGTGCACGTACAGCAGCGTGGTCACCAGCACGTCCACACCGGTGAACGCCAGAGTGCAAGCCACAGCCTTCCAGACTCTCATCTTCATCTGACTCTGGGGCAAGGCAGATTGCAGTTTGAGGCAGAGAAACCCCTAGTTCAAGGTAAAAGCTTCCATGTTAGTCTTTCCTGGGATGGGGAAAAGGAACAACACAAGAATATTAGTGACCTTTATGAAATGGCAGAGAGGGGGACCGAGCGCTGTGGAACACTGCGGTTTAGTTTAGTGAGAGCTCTGGTTCTCCCAGAGGCCAATTCCCTGCCATCCCCTCCCAGATCAGGATACCCCAGGGAGCTGGCATGTACAATATGCCTTCATGCAGGCCTGAGTTTGATCCAGCTTTTCAGGCTGATTCTATAGTTCCAATCTTCAGGGCCGGGAATTATTTCTAGGCTACAGGTAGCGTCATGGTGTGTTTTCAGCTACTCTCTTCAATGCCGGACCAGCCCAATTCTCAGCACCACGGGTTAACAATAGGGTCCAGGAGGTCCCTAGAACATGATGCCAAGCAAATTGTTTTGAAATGTCTCTGCAATGCCTCTCCGTTGCCACCACAGGAGCACTGTGCGGTAAAGGGAAACCATCAAGGCGGACAGGCTCCAAGTTGGCATGCACCATCCCTATCCCCAGAACTTATATTTATTCATGTTTCTTGGAGGGATCGGGTCCCTGAAGCCAGAGCGGCTGCAGTCTAAGACCCAGGTGACAATCAGCTCTCCGAACATATGGTGGCTGTGCGATAGGGAGTGTCCCCCAGGCCTCTGCTGCGAGCTCCCCACTGCGAGCCAGCAAGAGAGAGAGGCCGGCTCTTTGTGCCCACACGAAAAGAGCTCTTGAATACGATTCAAAAGGGATTTGCCGCAAGAGACAGAAGCAGGTGGCAGAGGTTAGAAATCAGACAGATGGATGGACCCCAGTGTCTAGACACCGAAAAGACAGCTCGCTCCACTAGGGCTGGTTATTGTCCAGGGCAGCATGAAAGTGTAAGGTGTGTCCAAGTGGGAATGCAGCAACCAACAAAAGCAAAGGTAGAAAAACTGCTCGAGGGCGCCAGCAGCCCAGTGGACTATATAAGCAATGAGGGCGGCACTTCCTGGCGGGCAGAAGAATAAATAATATCTAGCTCTTATCTGGTGCTTTTTATCTCACTCCTGCTTTCCAAAGGAGGGACTGGAGCATTATCCCCATTTACAGGTGGACAATCAGGCCAAAAATATTTCCTTCCCTTGGTTATTAAGATGATGTTTTTGGTTTTTTTTTAAAGTGAACGGAACAGAGTTTAAGTGTAGAAGTTTCTGGTTATCAGGGAATAACGTACAGATTATCAAGGGGTGCGAAGTTCAGATTAAGATTGGATGGCGTAAGGAATACATCATCTGCAATATCCCCAATTGGGGGTAAAAGGTTAACGGGTCAAAGTACAGACACTGAGATATGAGGGTATGTTGTTCATATGATGGCTAGGTTCAGGTGTGGAGTATAATGAGTGGATACGATGATGAGGATGGATTGACCCTCATTTGGTGAGATTTAACGTTCAGTGAGCTAATGGTTCCAGTTCATATGGTAGTACAATAGATTCAAACCAGGCAGCACCTGAAAAGTCTATTTTACTCTTCACTACTGATGCCATGTTTACTCCTGGCACTTCTCAATGAAAATAAACGGGTCAGTTTCTGTGTCCCTCCGCTCCCCTCATCAGTTTAATTCCCCGAGTGCCCTGCACGACCCCAACCTGCTGTCTGTTTGGGTTGCAAAAACTACCAGATCCCGACAAACCTAAGTTTTCATAGACAGAAAACAAACTAGTTAAAAGATAGTTCAAATGCAATCTTTCAAGAGAAAGAAAATCTAAAGCCTGGACCTACATTAGCTCCTTCAAGGAACAGCTGGTGATGCTGAAAGCCATGTGTTCTGTTCTGATCGTCGGGCCTGCAAATTTACCCTAATTGTGAGCTCCCGTATGACAGTATGTGAACAGTATCCCTAATGATGACACAGCACAACTTATTGCTGAGCTCTGTGACTTTATCCTCACGCACAATTATTTCAAATTTGGTGACAATATATACCTCCAGACCAGTGGCACCGCTATGGGCACCCACATAGCCCCACAATATGCCAACATTTTTATGGCTGACCTGGAACAACGCTTCCTCAGCTCTCATCCACTCATGCCCCTTCTCTACCTACGCTATATTGATGACATCTTCATCATCTGGACCCATGGGAAGGAGACCCTGGAAGAATTCCACCAGGATTTCAACAGCTTCCACCCCACCATCAACCTCAGCCTGGACCTATCTACACGGGAGGTCCACTTCCTAGACACC